TCTTCTTCTTCTTCTTCTTCTTCTTCTTCTATCTCGTGCATCTGATTCTGAAAACCAGCTCTTGCCATTTATCTTTGTCCTCTGCTTTCCTCAGATTGTCACCCATCGTCTTTCCTATCCACTCTGTAATGTTGTCTTCCCTATCCACTCTGTAATGTTGTCTTCCCATCTCCTTCTCTGCCTTCCTCTCTTTCTCTTCCCTTGTACTGTTCCTTTTAGGATTGTTTTGGCAAGTCCTGTGGATCTTGTGACATGCCCATACCATTTTAATTTTCGTCTCTTCACTGCGACCAGTAGATCTTCATGCTGCCCCACTGCGTTGGTGATTCTTTTTCAAATCTCAGCATTTGAAACGTGGTCTTTGTACGAGATGCCAAGGAGAATATATAAAGTTAGAAATCTTTAAAAACTACCCAACCACCCAGTCTTGGAGAGGCACCCAGAGAAAGTAAAAATATCTCGTAGACCTACTTTCATAAGTAGAGCAGTGTTTGCTAGTCTGGGCAATGTCGTCCAAGATCAGGGGCGTTTTGGTAATTTTGGTAGGCCGTGGGGTTCACCTGGGTGGATAGTGACAGGTGTTATGTGTTATTTTATGCCACGCTTGGAAATGTAGGTGGACGGTACGAACTTTAATCTACTTTAATCTTATTCAAAAGGTAGCCGAAGTTGTTGCTGTTCTTGAAAAACTAAACGATACGCCAAAAATTACATTCCCACCACGCTTTCCAACCCTTTCCAATACAAACATCATATTGTCATCATTAAAGATAACAACAGAAAAAAGAGAAAAACCCCCACAAAAAAGAGAAAACAACAACAAAAAAGAAAACACCCAAATACATCATCATCATCATCATCATCATCATCATCATCATCATCATCATCATCATCATCATCATCATCATCATCATCAACAACAACAACAGCAACGACAACAACAGCCACAACAACAACTTCAGCAGCAGTAACAGGTGTTAACCTTACTGAACCACCATTATGAACATTCTGCAACAAAGGAAATTAGTGACTGGAGGAACCTCAATATGACTCGAGCAAGGTGCGCAAGGTGAGATTCCACGCTCAATATTTGTTCTGTGAGATCCTATTTCCCAGGCCAGGGCATCTGGTTTTCGTTACTACGAGACGCACGTACGTAGCATGCTTCTTTCTCCGTCGCTGAACATCTACATCTATGCCAGCAGTCAAACCTGGTTCTACTGCTGTCGCCCTACTCTTCCTGTAGGCCATAATGAAAATTGTAGATTTGTTAATTGGAAGGTGTGATTGTGTTACAAAGGCCTTTGAACGGCGTAAGTCGATATCAAAACGTTTCACGGAAGTTAATGTCCTGGAAAGCCTTCTTTCAAAAACCTTGCTGGTGCCTTGGTTCTTACGCGTATTCTAGAGAGCTATTGCTGGGGTACCAACGGGTTTCGATTCTATTCTGCGCGTCGGATTCGATCGTTACACTTTTTGTCCTTCTCCCCCATCCCATCCCAATCCCCACCCACCCAC